TTTCATTACCCAACTAGGTAACATCATCATCCCTGAAGGGGAGTGGGGTTGGAGGGGTATTGGTGGAGGAGGAGGAGGAGGAGGAAGAGGAAAAGAGGAGGACTGCAGAATCCAATCCTTGGTGCTTTGGGAGCTTGATAGTTTTCTTGCAGACATTTCATTACCCAACTAGGTAACTTCATCAGTACTAGAAGAGAGGGGGTTTTGCAGAGAGGAGGAGGAAGAGGAGGAGGAATTGTAAAATCCTTAGTACCTTCTAAGCTTGGCTGTTTTCTTGCAGGCATTTCATTACCCAAGTAGGTAACATTATCAGCACTATACTAGAAGAGAGGGGGAAGGAAGAGGAGGGGAAGAGAGGAGGAGAAAGAGAAAGGAGGAGGAGGAGGAGAAGAAGATAAAGAGAAGAAAGAGAAGGAGGAAGGAAAGGAGAGGAAAAAGAGGAGGAGGAGGAACTGTAAAATCCTTAGTACTTTCTAAGCTTGGCTGTTTTCTTGCAGACATTTCATTACCCAAGTAGGTAACATTATCAGTACTATACTAGAAGAGAGGGGGAAGGAGGAGGAGGGGAAGAGAGGAGGAGAAAGAGAAAGGAGGAGGAAAGGAAGGAGAGGAAAAAGAGGAGGAGGAGGAGGATTGTGGGGTCTCTGAACTTGGTTGTTTTCTGGCAGGCGTTTCATTACCCAAATAGGTAGCATCATCAGTGCTAGGAGGGAGTGGGGTTTGTGGGATGGGGGAGGAGCAAATTCTGCTTCGCACCTGGATCGTGCGAAGAGCCTCATGATCTTTAACCATCGGCTAAGCTGATGGGCCCTTGGTTGGGATGGATTGGCCTTTTTCCTGGCCAGCTTTGAGGGCTGGGATTCACCCCAGCCAAAATGGATCCATTTTGCGCCTGGTTGTTTGCAGCCCAAAGGTGAACTTCCAAGAAAGACCTCAGCCTGGCTCAATCTGAGCTGAGCCTTGGCCCCGATCCTGCGGTTGGCCCTGCGCTTCCTCCACTCAGCCTTGAGGATTGGGGGTTGAGAAGGATAAAGGCCAATGTTTTTGGAGGCTGCTGGATAATTCTTCTCCTTCTCCCCCTTCTCCTTCTCCTTCTTCTTCCTCCTCCCCTTCTCCTCCTCCTCCTCTTCTTCTGCTCATTCTCCTTCTCCTCCTCCTCTTCTCCATTTCTTCTTTTCATTCTCCTCCTCCTCTTTTTCTTCTGCTTCTCATTCTCCTCCTCCTCCTCTCCTCCTCCTCTTCTCCTCCTCCTCTTCTCCTCCTTCTCCTCCTCTTCTCCTCCTCTTTCTCCTCCTCTCCTCCTCCTCCTCTTCTTCTTCTTNGGTGAACTTCAACTCCCAGAATTCCCCAGTCAAAATCCTTTAAGATGGGTCGCTTCAACTCCCAGAATTCCCCAGCCAGCATACTTTAAGATGGGCGAACTTCAACTCCCAGAGTTCCCGAATGAATGGTTTTAAGTGGAGAACTAGTTGCAATCTACTAATGTAGTTATTAGAGTGAACATGCATGCATCTTCCTGATTTTAAAATCCTTTTTTATTATCTTGTGGGGCGGGGGGGTTCGTATTTCCTAGCTGCCTGGGGCCCGAGGGGCTGCCAGTTGGACATGTCTGCTCTAGATGGAAAGGCTAAGGGCAGAGGATGCTGGGAAGGGAGGCAGGGGAGGGGTCTTTATTCCTGGAAGCAAACCTCAAAGGAATTTATTGCGGTCTTGTTTTGCCTCCGTTAGACCAGCTATTACTGTGAATCAAGGAGCGATGAGCAGCCCTCAGCGGTTCGCTTCTAGCCAGCAACAGACCCGGATATCTGCCTCTTCGGCTACCAGGGAGCTGGACGAGCTCATGGCTTCCCTTTCAGACTTCAAGGTGCACCCCCCTTGTTATTATCCCCCCCCCCTCTTTACTTTCTGGCCTAGGGATGGTGGTTTTGGCCTATCCTCAACCGTAACCTCCTTGTTCACGCATCGGCTTCAACCGAGATTCCTTGGGGCTTGGCTGGTTTTCTTGCAGACGTTTCATTACCCGATTAGGTAACATCATCAGTGACCTGAGAAGTGGGGTTTGAGGGGTAGTGGTGGTGGTGGTGGTGGTGATGGAGGAGGAGGAGGAGGAGGAGGATGACAACGACTGTGGGATCTAACTCTTGCTGCCTTTGGCAGCTTGATAATTTTCTTGCAGACATTTCATTACCCAACTAGGTAACATCATCAGTGACCTGAGAAGTGGGGTTTGAGGGGTGGTGGTGGTGATGGAGATGGAGATGGAGGAGGAGGAGGAGGAGGAGGAGGAGAACGACTGTGGAATCTAACTCTTGTTGCCCTTGGGAACTTGATAGTTTTCTTGCAGACATTTCATTACCCAACTAGGTAACATCATCAGTGACCTGAGAAGTGGGGTTTGAGGGGTAGTAGTGGTGGTGATGGAGATGATGGAGGAGGAGGAGGAGGAGGAGGAGGAGGAGGACAATGACTATGGAATCTAACTCTTGCTGTCCTTGGGATAGTTTGATAGTTTTCTTGCAGACGTTTCATTACCCAACTAAGTAACATCATCAGTGACCTGAGAAGTGGGGTTTGAGGGGTGGTGGTGGTGATGGTGATGGTGATGATGGAGGAGGAGGAGGAGGAGGAGGACAACGACTGTGGAATCTAACTCTTGCTGCCCTTGGGAGCTTGATAGTTTTCTCACAGACGTTTCATTACCCAACTAGGTAACATCATCATCCCTGAAGGGGAGTGGGGTTGGAGGGGTATTGGTGGAGGAGGAGGAGGAGGAGGAAGAGGAAAAGAGGAGGACTGCAGAATCCAATCCTTGGTGCTTTGGGAGCTTGATAGTTTTCTTGCAGACATTTCATTACCCAACTAGGTAACTTCATCAGTACTAGAAGAGAGGGGGTTTTGCAGAGAGGAGGAGGAAGAGGAGGAGGAATTGTAAAATCCTTAGTACCTTCTAAGCTTGGCTGTTTTCTTGCAGGCATTTCATTACCCAAGTAGGTAACATTATCAGCACTATACTAGAAGAGAGGGGGAAGGAAGAGGAGGGGAAGAGAGGAGGAGAAAGAGAAAGGAGGAGGAGGAGGAGAAGAAGATAAAGAGAAGAAAGAGAAGGAGGAAGGAAAGGAGAGGAAAAAGGAGGAGGAGGAGGAGGAATTGTAAAATCCTTAGTACTTTCTAAGCTTGGCTGTTTTCTTGCAGACATTTCATTACCCAAGTAGGTAACATTATCAGCACTATACTAGAAGAGAGGGGGAAGGAGGAGGAGGGGAAGAGAGGAGGAGAAAGAGAAAGGAGGAGGAGGAGGAGGGGGAGGAGAAGATAAAGAGGAGAAAGAGAAGGAGGAAAGAAAGGAGAGGAAAAAGAGGAGGAGGAGGAACTGTAAAATCCTTAGTACTTTCTAAGCTTGGCTGTTTTCTTGCAGACATTTCATTACCCAAGTAGGTAACATTATCAGTACTATACTAGAAGAGAGGGGGAAGGAGGAGGAGGGGAAGAGAGGAGGAGAAAGAGAAAGGAGGAGGAAAGGAAGGAGAGGAAAAAGAGGAGGAGGAGGAGGATTGTGGGGTCTCTGAACTTGGTTGTTTTCTGGCAGGCGTTTCATTACCCAAATAGGTAGCATCATCAGTGCTAGGAGGGAGTGGGGTTTGTGGGATGGGGGAGGAGCAAATTCTGCTTCGCACCTGGATCGTGCGAAGAGCCTCATGATCTTTAACCATCGGCTAAGCTGATGGGCCCTTGGTTGGGATGGATTGGCCTTTTTCCTGGCCAGCTTTGAGGGCTGGGATTCACCCCAGCCAAAATGGATCCATTTTGCGCCTGGTTGTTTGCAGCCCAAAGGTGAACTTCCAAGAAAGACCTCAGCCTGGCTCAATCTGAGCTGAGCCTTGGCCCCGATCCTGCGGTTGGCCCTGCGCTTCCTCCACTCAGCCTTGAGGATTGGGGGTTGAGAAGGATAAAGGCCAATGTTTTTGGAGGCTGCTGGATAATTCTTCTCCTTCTCCCCCTTCTCCTTCTCCTTCTTCTTCCTCCTCCCCTTCTCCTCCTCCTCCTCTTCTTCTGCTCATTCTCCTTCTCCTCCTCCTCTTCTCCATTTCTTCTTTTCATTCTCCTCCTCCTCTTTTTCTTCTGCTTCTCATTCTCCTCCTCCTCCTCTCCTCCTCCTCTTCTCCTCCTCCTCTTCTCCTCCTTCTCCTCCTCTTCTCCTCCTCTTTCTCCTCCTCTCCTCCTCCTCCTCTTCTTCTTCTTCCCTCCTCCTCCTCCTCCTCCTCATCTTCTGCTTCTCATTCTCATCCTCTTCCTCTCCTCCTCTTCTTCTTCTTCCCTCCTCCTCCTCCTCCTCCTCATCTTCTGCTTCT